GAAGCCGGAGCCCCGATAGGGGAGCAGGACCAGCTAGAGGACCAGACGAGCAAGCATCCAGCTCTTCGGCCAGGGGGAGCTCCAACACTTACCCCACCCCGATGCGGGGACGCCGCGGCCTTGGTCTTCCTGAAGAACAGCAATTCGCCCGAGGGAGTTTGCCGAGATGGAGAACGGGGGCGGAAGCAACACCAACAGCATCCATCGTGGCAGGAAGGGGGGAACCACGCCGTGTCAATCCAGCACAAATGGCAGCAAACCTTGGTAAGTGGTGTGCCACATCTTGCGCGACACCCTACACGCTACGTCCGTGCGCAACGAGCTGTCTGAAGTGGGGGCACTGCTGGAGGATGTCGTCGCAGACTTCGGGGCATCCATTCGACCTCCAGGCTATCATCCCCGCCGAGCTCGCGCTGGTAGAGGGCCGCCTTGTCACGATGTTAAGGCGCACAATGACCTCGGGCCCAAACCGACGGGTTCGCGAGCTGCCGGTCGCTATCTCAGAGCACGCTTTCTTCGTGAAGAGCGGCTGGCTAAAGGTGGGCTTCGACCTGCTCAAGCAGCACGCTAATTACAAGCGCGACTACCTGATGCGCAGACGGCGAAGCCGGCTGGCAAAGCCCTCATGGAAGCCGTGGACATCCTCGACCAAATCGTCCTCGACTATGACCCGCAAGCCGACGACTTCACCATGGACCCTGCGACACTACAAGACGAGTTGCTGCGCCTAGCACAGCAACTCCAAATTGTCGTGCCAGCCCACAACAGTTTATTGGGGGACATCAGGGGAGAATTGCCGTCGTAGAGACCAGCTTCCACATCCCAAGAACTTTTCGAGGGCTACGGGGACGAACTCGGTCTGATGCAACAGCTCGGAGGAGGACACGGGGGGCAGCCAGTGCAACCTGGGAGAACCTGCTCGACCAAGTCCGGGGGGAGTTGCGGAACATGCCTTTACCATGCCGACACGCTTGCGTGCACCAGCTTATATGCCGACTACATCGACCAGGACAAGACCCAGCGGGGGATACGGAGGAGGGGTACCGCTGTGCCGTGCAACTACTTTCTGTCTTGGAGAATGAGTTCCCGGAGAGCTACCGCACAAATGGACAGTGCGAAGCAGACGCTGTATGGCTACTACTCAGGGGGGAACGCCCGCGGAGTACATCGATTGCATGAATGTACCCGCGGGAGAACGCACGCATGGGGGGCAAGGGGATGAACACCCAGGACTCCAAGGGTGGTTCCAACATCACGAACCCAATGCCAGAGGAGGGGGAAGAGCAGCAGCACCCCGGAACCAAGCTGGGAACCAAGCAGGCCCAGAGCAGCGCAACCACGACCCGTCCTACGAGCCCACCTCCCTTGTCCAACTGCCGCTCCGGGGACAGCGAGGGCAAGCTGATCCACATCCGCAACCAGAAGGCCTACAAAGCGCGTGCACAACTACGTCGACCACTACCACGAACGCCGGGGGACGAGGCGAAGAACGGGAGCAACCACCAAGTCGCCCCACTACCACGAGAAGCAGGAGCCGACGAGAGGAGGGGGCAACCAAGAGCAGGGGGAGAACCCGGGGCCACCGAGCCCCATCAGGCGCGCGAGAAGCCAGGCGTCTGCGTTGTTGGCGTCCATCTCCTCGGAGACCCAAGCAGCAGCAGAATACGCGCCCAACGCAGAGGACCTGGGACACCAACACCGAGCAGACTATGCAGCAGAAGCCCTGGAGCTCATCACGCAAGCGATGGGGCTAGCAAATGACGTGGGGGTGCCAGGGGTCGTCGATTACCTCGCAGCCGCCGGCGCAAGGTTATCCCAGCTCCATGTTTCGCGGGCGAGGGGGACAGACAGAGGGGGAAAACCATTGCCGACTCCCAATGCCTTCGAAATTGCAGCCCTGACTGTTGGCATTATGGAGGAGAGCAGCCAAGGGGATCCGCCCTCCATGGCTGAATTGCTGGAACTGCTGGAACTGGTACAAGCAGGAATGGCACTCCTTACTAGGGGAGGCACAGCTACAACTGGCAGGTGACGCACTGGGCTACGGATTCAGCAGAAGAAGTGCTTGCACTACTTACAGTCGCCACGGCAACGAACCACTCAGCGGAACTGGCGGAAGCAGAGCCGGACGTGCTCGACAACGCCTTTTACGCGATCCACCGGACCAAGAACTGCGGGACGTGCTGAGGGGCCGAGCCCCACGGAGCCCAGCCGAAGACGCCGGACCCTCACAAGCCCTAGCTCCCTCGACAATGATGATTGAGCTAGGCGTTGTTTGGGGGAGGCATGGTTTGTTGCACCGGGATCGTCGCCACTGCTTGCAACTCGGGGGAGCAAGGGTGGCAAACACAATTTGCCGCGACGAGCTCAGGGCCCACACACATTCGGATGTTTTATAGTCGACTTGCCTTGAGTAATAGTAGGGGTGCTGGTCTCAGCTTACCCGAGAGCAGGCGCAAGATGGTAGAGGTTCCACGGGGGTGAGAAGGTGGAAGGCAGTGCTGCGCAAGGCTTCCGTTCGGTGTCAGGTCGGGAGGCAGGTTAGTGGGGGTGTCTGTAGTACAAGTTTCAACCGTAGGGCGCACTCGCCCAACCGCAGAGCTCATGCTAGCTGCTTGCGCTGTGATCTACTGTTGTCATGTTCGCCCTCTGTTACCAAGCGGCAGCGAGCCCTCGGCAGACGGGGGAGTGGAGCTCCCTTTTCAAATCGGGGGACCCCAGACATGCACCCTGTATCATATCATACCATCACACTGGCAGTTTCGAACCTCAAGGTGTAAACTCTTTAAACAGGACTGGGGGGAAATCGCTGACCCCCTCGGCCCTTCTCAGGTAAGCTCCCACATTGGCCCTCGGCCCACATTGACCCGCAATCCCAGTTTCTTTTCAATACACCTACTTGAGGCAAGCAATGGTAAGACTTCGCGGGGACTAGAAGGCCCAAATTCGAGATTTCACAAATCCTTGACATCACCGGGGGAAACCAAGCACCCTTGTCCTTCACCCCTTTTTCATGTCGGACCCGCCCGAAAGCCGGGGACGGAGTGCTGCGTGTGTCATTTGGTCGCGGCCTTACCTTCAGTCTTTGTTGTTTGCTTGCTGTGCCCCTGGGACACAATGGCAATACAGTCATTCAGGGGGGTTTTTCCTTTGTAAAGCCGAGCCTCCCATGGGGAAACCGCAGGAGGAGCAAAGACGCCCCAAGGACTGCGGGTGAGCGCTCGCGCGCAGGGGGGAGGGGGGGGCTGGACCGCCCTTCTCCCTTTTCCCCGTCGAGAGAGAGACAGAGAGAGAGAGAGAGAGAGTCTAACCGACCCCTCATGCCCTGGGGAAGAAGAAGAAGAGAGAGAGACCGAAAGAAAGAGAGAGAAAAACAAAGAGAGAGAGAGGGCCGCAACCGTCCACCACAGCCGCGGCGAAAGAAAGAGAGAGACGGGGAACACTATACATTCTGTTACGGTAGAAACTCTTTCTGGCCAACGCGAGCGCCAGCACTACGAAGTTCAGAAAAGGGGGGCACTTAGACTTTTATGTTTTTTGGGGGGCTTTGCTGTCATGCTGTGCCAGGCCATTGTAGCACCAGTATATGGAAAGTCTGTGGCGTCAACCGAAACAACGCAATCGCAAAGCTGTGAGTGCCAGGACTATGTACCCAAGGCATCCCTGCGCGAGTGGGCAACGGCACGCTTTGCTCCTGCCCTCACAAGCCCTACAGGAGGAGGAAGAAGGAGGCTACGATAGAGTCCGACGAAGAAATAAACACAAGCCAAATGATCAGGGCTCGGGGGTTGCAGAGGTCGCCTGCATAATTTTTTGTCAGAGTGTTCGGAAGAAGAGCGGAACTAAAGGAAAAGGGCGCAGGCCTCAACAAGTTGGGTGCGGGCCCCCGGCCAGAGGAAGGACGTGACCTAGCATTGATCAACTGTCGAGGCAAGCGACAAGAGCCCGGATGAGATGTTCCGGTCTACTAAATCGCTACTACTGGGATGGGATCTATCGACATAGAACCGTGTTCTCAGTGCTGCATCTCAGCAGACCAAGCAATCGCTCGACCTGGGGTCAGTGGCTGCTCTCCAAAGTCGTGTTGCAAGGTCGCTTGGCCAAGAAGCGGATCAGCAATGCCTCCATGGCCGATTTCTTCAAGCGGGAGCCAGCCGTTTCTCGAGTATGGCTCTTTCTGGAGGTCGCTTTGCTCTATTGCTACTGGCTGCTTGTGTAATGGCTCAGTCGCCACCGTCGCCCCTGAGGATCCTGATTCGAGCCGTTCAGCCTATTGGTTCGCTACGCTGAGCAACTACTTCGTCTGCTTGAGCATCATTTTCACGATCTGGCAAGCATCGCTTTATCCGCCCTTGTCCGGTATGGTTGAAGGCATCATCCAAATAGCAGTCGAGGCGCTTGGCGCGGACACAGTGCAAGCTCGAGCCTACACCCGCTGTTGGAACTGTAGACCCGGCTGTTTCGAAGTTGACATTGAAGCAAGCACCCCTGTCAACCTGTATGTACAACTGGTTCAACTGATTGCAGGGTCCCTCGCGTACGCACGTGCAATCGGCGACACTTCCAAACTTCGAAGGGCATAGACATTGCCAGCTTTGGCCCTGGAACATTACTTGAAGTAGGTTTGAGTTTCGTCACATGTCGTAGGGATGCCGAAGCCGAAAAATCATCAAGTAAATTTTCCGCCAAATGGCTGAAACGACCAGCAGCGGCAGCAGCCTCGAACTGAAGCCAATTCGCGTGCACCATGCTGGCCAACAGCCTGCAGTCATGCCAACTAGAGTGAAGACTGCTGCCTATACACCAGCATGCGGTATTTCTGTGCCACCTGCGTCAGCCTGCATCTCAGCCCAACCTCAACTGGTTTTGGGAGGTGCTCATGTTGCTTGAATTTATTGTTCGATGGATTGCGTCGGGGCCGAAGAGGGCGACTTGGCGGAATCGAAGCTTTTCGAGCTTTGGGAAGTATTCAGTTCGCGGCTTCGAGGGCTTCAGATTCAGGCCGTATTCGGCCCGCAGTCTATCAGATCTCCGAAGTGCCAAAGCACGCTTCGCACACGCTGCCAGGAGTTCGTCCGGAACCCCTACAATGTGATCGACCTTGCAGCCTTTATTCCGACAATCGTTCGGCTTGCTTCTGGCGTGGAGACCCCTTCGACTGCAAGGAATCCCTTTTCTCACTACGTCTTGGTGTGTTTCGTTCCAGTAATACGGCAGCTGAAGCTGATTCGTCGATTTCAGAAGCTGCAGTTGTTATTGCACCTTGGCCGCCTTTACCGCGATCCACTAGAAGCCCTCGCTTCGCAGCTTGCAGTCCCAAGCATTCTTTTTGCTGACTGTGCTGCAAAACTTCGAGGCACGTGCTTACTACGGTTTTCGATGCCCTGAAGCTGTTGCTGTTCCTGGTTTGTCTGATTGTGGCTTGGCTGCTTTTAGCTACTAGGTGAAACCAGTTGATCCAGACCCTGCCTGAGAAACCAATGAGGTCCTATTCTTTGCAGCGGTGCTTTATATTGTGGAGCCAAACGATGCAAATGCAGTAGATTCGCTTCCGACGTCAATTTGGCTTTGCATTGTCACGGTCACGACCGTTGGATACGGAGCTCCCCTCAGTTTATGCTTAGCTGCTGCATGGAAGGCCGATGTTCCAGATCAACCACAGACCCCCTGTTGTCATGTTTCGGAGGCGATGTGGCGCCGACAACTTGGCCTGGACGAATTGTGGCGGGCACTCTGTGCTTCATCAGCGTGCTCTTTATGGCCATGCCGCTGTCGGTGACTTGGCAGCACAGGCTGTGCCGGCGCTTCACGGTGCTTTGTGGGGACACGAAAGTTCCTGCTTCCCAGGTTCTTGGAAATGCCATGTCGCAGACATGGGCAGATCGGCATCGCATCCTCCTCATGACACGCACGCGGTCTCGCCTGAAGAACCTGGGGTACTCTGCAGGTTACATGGCGAATACCTAAGACCCAAGCCAATGCCGTCAATCAAGCGCCTTCGCATGTAGCAGCATGGCATGTCTGCGCCCGAGATGATATGCCCAAGCTTTTCAAGAAGTTCGATACCGACAACAACGGCGAGCTGGAGTTAGAAGAGTTTGTCGTTCCACGCCAGCACTACTTCTCTCCTGCTGCTACTCCTACTATTACTTCTACTGCTATCACTAGCAGTGCCGCTATCCACCACCACAACTGCTACCACAACCACGGCCACTCATCCCGCCTGTACGACTGTACGACCACCACCAGTACTACCACTGCACCTTCCAGTTACTACCATTACCACCACTGCTAGTGGCAGCGCTGTTTGTACTAGTACTCGTACGCGTGCTGGTACTGTTTGTGTTGTATATACCACTGCTGCAGCTACTAATCCTAGAAGGAGTATTACGACTTAGTGCTGTTGCGACTTCGACTCCTAGGGCTACTCTTACTCTTGCTCTTGCTCTTGCTCTTACTCTTACTCTTACTCTTACTCTTACTCTTACTCTTACTCTTACTCTTACTCTTACTCTTACTCTTACTCTTACTCTTACTCTTACTACTACTACTACTACTACTACTACTCCTACTACTACTACTACTACTACTACTACTACTACTACGACTACCACAACTACGACTACGACTACGACTACGACTACGACTACGAC